AAAGCTGTTTTTTCAGGCCAGCATTTGTTGCTTGGATGCAGAGGAAAACGACTTGGTTGGTGGCGAAACGGTTATGTGTCCAACTAACCCCTGGACAGGCGATGAGAGGGCCCTGCCTAACAGTGAGATCTTCCTTACTGTGCCCACGCTGCTGAGGGCCATGTGGACACGGTCACGCCATTTGCTGATAGAATTCACTTGTGTTTCTGTGCCGTGAGGAGAGCCCGGATTGACTGGATTTGGGGTCCCGCCCGAGGCTGCCGGGGCAGGGCTGGACCCGGTGGCTTCAGGAGCGCTCCTTCCCGATCCCTCATTCTGACGACGCCCTTGTCCACATGGGCTGTGCACCAATCACCCCTCACCCTCACTTCCCACACCCACCCTCGCCCACCCTGCCCCTCGCTTCCTCCCCTTCTTTCCTGAACCGACCAAGTGCCTGCTGCCCGCGGACACTACATACATCCTACACGTGCAAGTGCCTGCTGCCCGCGGACACTACATACATCCTACACGTGCAAGTGCCTGCTGCCCGCGGACACTACATACATCCTACACGTGCAATTGCCTGCTGCCTGCGAACACTGCACCAACCCTAGACGTGCAGGGAGGGCTGTGCTGGCCTCAGGGAGCGTCTGTCATGTTGTTGGCATGGTCTGACCTCTCTAAACAAGTAATGCTAACGTGAAAGGTACATGTTGTACTTGAGGTACTTACAGAATAACACCCAGGCTCACAAATAGCATGGAGGGCCCGGACTGTGTGGCTCAGTGGTTGAGCATAGGCCTATGAGCCAGGAGGTCACGGTTTGATTCCCCATCAGGCACAGGCCCAGGTTGCAGACTTGACCCCCCAGTGTGGGGCGTGCAGGGGGCAGCTGATCCATGATTTTCTCATCATTGATGTTTCTATCTCTCTCTCCCTTCCTCCCTGAAATCAATAAGAATATATTCAAACCTATAACAACATGGATGACTGTGACCTTATGTGGCTACGTCTTGACCTTCACATCAGTCCAGGCCACACAGACACCCGGGAGGGAGGCAGGCAGCGAGCCCCGAGCTCTGCCACGTCAGGGCTGTGGGGCTGCCTTGAGGAAGCGGAGGTCATTCTGCTGAAACAGAAAAACAGACGATTCCACGCGCAGAGTCTGGGAACGTGCGGGCAATGCCCGCCCCGTCCTGCTGGGCCGAGATGTGGGCCGGCCGACGCTGCGGGAACCATCGGTCCGTTCTGACGTCGTCAATACGTGGAAGTGATCACAGGACAAAGAAGGTTCGGGATCACCGTCCAGAGGTTCGGGCTGCGGCCGGGAACGGACACGGCTGGACACGCGTGTGCAGAACACTGCGTGTGAGCCATGAGCCGACGGGAGGCCTGACCGCTTCGCTCCTCATTAACTGTCGTCGGCACGAGGAAGACGACGACAAACACGAAGGACAGTGGAGGAAGCAGCCTTGTTGTTTATTCAGCAAAGCTCCCGTCACCAAACACCCAGCAAGCCGTTCGCAAGCCGCACATCAGCCCGCGTGGCACGACTGCCCGGCAGCCGCGCCTCCTGCCGAGAGCACGCGTGGCCGCACTCACGCTCACGGCCCCGCCGCCGGCACGCCAGGCGCTCTGCTTGTGGGAAACGCTCTTTGGAGTGAGGCCGCCGATGACAAAGCGGAGAACGGCTTAGAGGAGGGTCACGGAATCAGTCTCTTCCCACAAACCGAGCGGCCTGGCCCTCCGGTGAGGTGACTGACAGGCACGGTCCGGGTCAGCGCTCCTGGCCGGGGGGCTCGCCCTCCTCCGCGGCCTCGTGGCCCCGCTGGCTGGGGATGGCGGGGAGCACGCGGGGCGTCCTCAGCGGCTCTCCAGACAGAACTGGGGGGAGAGAGAAGGAGACACGTCAAAGCCGCTTCTCTGAGTCTGTGGGAGCGGCGACAGGAGACACACGTGTTATTTCTTGTCTTTTTTAAATAGATTTTTATTGATCTCAGGGAGGAAGGGAGAAGGAGAGAGAGAAACATCAATGACGAGAGAGAATCACTGATCGGCTGCCTCCTGCACGGCCCCTACTGGGGACTGAGCCCACAACCCCGGGCACGTGCCCTGGACCAGAATCAAACCCAGGACCCCTGAGTCCACAGGCCGGCGCCCTATCCACGGAGCCACACTGGCCAGGGCTGAGTGTCATTTGTGAAGGAGGGCATGTCTTGGGGGAGCCAGACTGCACACCCGACGTCTGTTCAGACAGAGGCTGGTTTCTGCTTAGCGACAAGGTCACAAAGGCGGCCCGACTTTCCTTCGGTGACTGAGCTCCTGGCACAGAAAACGCTCACGGCACAGAGCATGTGCACGTATGTGTGTGCGTGTGTGCATGTGTGTGCCTGTCTGTGTGCAAGGGCAGAGGAGCCGGAGCTAAGGCAGAGACCTTGCTCTCGGCGGCTCACAGGAGACTTGGGCAGAACCCACCATCTCTCCCTCTCCTTCCGCTAAATGACGGGGTGGCACCAAAACCCCGGTCACTGTCGCCCCGAAGGTTCCAGAAGCTTCGATGGGTTCCCTCCCCACTGGGTCGGGGAACAGAGGACATTTCCTCGGGAAAACGGTTGCCAAGTTTGACCTTCTCATCTCATTTACTTCTCCCAGCAGCGCAGCAGGCTGGCCTGTCCCAGGCTCAGGGGAGACGGACATCCAGAAAGAGGGAGGGCAGCTCTGACTTCACTCACTCCCTACAGCCCAGAGGAGTGGAGGGTGCGCGTGTGCATGTGTGTGTGTGCCTGGGTGTGTGTTATAACAGGGTGGCTGGGCTGGGCTGGGCTGGGGAGGAAGGACACGAGGGCCCAGGAAGCACGCTTGTGTTGGGAGCAGCCGCCTGTAGCCTGAGCTGTGCTCCTGGCGCTGCTCTTCACCGCGTAAGGCCGCTGAGCGAGACCTCAGTCTCCCCGTCTGCACAATGGGAACAAGGGGAGATCTGCCTCCGACATGGAGTTGCTGGGTGAAGCCGGTCAAGTGGAATGAAGGTAACTAGAAGAGGACGTTCTGCCAAGAGAAGGCGGGGCCTGCAAGCGGGCCACGTCAGAACAAAGCCTTACAGGTAGGATTCATTGTTCTGAGCAGAGTTCCCTTGGGTCCAGGAGGGCATGGAAAGTTCAAGGGAGGGTGCACAGCTGCTGGTTGAGAGGGTCTTTGTATAACATAGGAAATTAATAGTTTAATGTATAACTTAGCTCAGATGATCTCCTAGCCATGCCCGTTTACCATTGTCACTTGCTGTGCTCCCCCAATAGAAGCCATGAGGGCCTTGGGGGTTTTGCTACATGCCTGAGCGAGCGGTAGCCCTCTGTTTCTCCAGCTCAGTCCTGCAGGCCGAGCTCATCTCAGTGTCACCTTCACCTGCAGACGACCTGCCCTGGGCGTGTGGCCGGAATCAACTTTATCCCACGCACCCGGGCGGCACTTTCAAACACAAGCACGAGGTCCCCGCTGGAGGGAGCCGATGGGTATTCCTACTGTGAGACGTTTTGTGTAAAACAGAACTGGAATCGGTAACGGCAACGCGACCTTGACGAGAGCATCCTCCCTGTCGGGCGGTGGGGCCTGGCGCAGGGCAGACACTCATCACAGGGGGCACGTGCCAAGCGCCGTCCCAGGGGCAGGATGTGAAGCCCCTTTTAACCACGCGGACAGTCACAGCAACACAGACAGCAAAACCTGTTCTGGCTTCTACGGTCCACACAGAAGGCGCCGGAGGGAAGGAGCAGCCTGTTCACCGGCCGTGAGGACCGGCTCCATTCCCTGCCCGCCCTGCCCTCCCACTTTAAAGCGAAAGTGAGTGACATAACAACCAGCTGCGCCCGGACGGACGGACGGACCTGTGGGCACCGGCAGTGGAGGCGGAGGCGGGGGGCGGGACACTCACATTTCTGGTCGGCCAGGGGCGCCAGGCTGCTCCGGGCGAAGGGCAAGTCCCTGATCGCGGGTCTGTTTGGGGAGAGCTGCGGGAAACTTGGTCCTGGGGACAAACACATTTGCATCAGCCACTTAAGACTCAACCAACTGCCGATGAGAACACCAGCGGGTAAGAGAGCATCCCTGTCAGACGCTAACAACAACGACATCATAATAACAACAGCCACCCTGGGCCGAATGTCTGTCATATGCCTGTCACTGTTTAAATGAAAGGAAAAGGCATCAAGTCATTTCTGGGGTGAACTAGTCTAAATGGGTGTGGTGAGCAGGCGCGCTGGCCTCCACCCGAACAACGTAGAAGCCGGAGAATTCACCAGGGGAATGTGTCCCGGAGTCCGGGGGCCGGCGGCCACTGAGCAGCGCACCCGACGAAGGTGGCACAGCCTCCAGCTCCCCGGTGGGCGCCCACCACCCTGTGTTTATCCCTGAGGGCCCCGTGGGGCGAACAGCTTCAAAGCCGCGATTAAAACGACAAACCAACGAGGAAAACCTTCCTGCGCAGAATCACAGCGAGACACGTATCTGCTCACCTGTCAGGGACGTTCGAGCAGAAGTTTGCAGAAACAAGACCTGAGATAACGGTGAGGACGGACCCTGTGTGTGAAGCGCTGACTGTTGTTGGAAAGTGGGCTCAGTGCGTGGGCGTGATCTCCTGCGACCCCGACAGCCACGCCCCCAACTCCCTCCTCCCCCCGCCCAGGAGGCAGCGCTGTCACCATCACCATCACCACAGACACTGCCCTGGGGAGCCCTCACAGTTCCCGAGGCCAACCTGGAAGGGACAGAGCCGGCTCCCACTCAGGTCTGTCTGACCCTAAGACTCAAGCTCTCCCTCCTCCCCGGGAGCCAGGGCAGTATCAGGGCTGGGGAGGCGAGAGGGCTGGGGTGTGTGTGTGTGTGTGTGTGTGTGTGTGTGAGTGTGTGAGCAGGTCAGTGAC